TACATTTAAAAAATTTTCAAAATCTTTTATACGTAAATGATTAATTTTTTAATTTTTTAGTTTTAAATAAAAGAAATGATCAGTTCAAAACTTCGAGACTAATCGAGTTATAGTTTACATTAATTTTAATTATAAATTTAATTTAATTATAATTTGATTATAAATTTAATTTAATTATAATTTAATTATAAATTTAATTTAAAAATTGGTCAAACCTTTTGCATTAATTGTCTAACATAATAATATGATAAGTATAAAACGTGTATCTACTAACGTAATTTTCAGATCCCAACTAAATTTTTAATACGGCAACTACGCGTTTGTGACACCAGCGATTAAGTACCTCTCCTATCTCTCTTAGAATAATTCCTTTTCTATTTTCGCGCAGCTGACCCGCCAGCTCTCACTTGACGGATAATACCTACACAAACTCTTTAATAACATAAAATAGTGGAAAAATACCATCACATAGTGGAAAAAAGAGGTTCTAGATATTTTAGCAGGAAGCGCGTCGCTATATGGGCCTAAAATAGACGATACTGTGTGAGTATCGAAAAAAAAAGGTTTTTTTAAACGCGTTTTTCTGGGAACAATTTTTTTCTTAGATATATTTTTAATTAGATATATTTTTAGGTCGCAATGTGGAGATATTATCCATTTTGTTGTTACAATTAATTTTATAACATAAAATTAGTTAAATTTTAACACAAATTTTTCGAAACTTAAAAAAATTCGTCTTCTTTAACTTCTGAAATTTAAAAAAACAATAATATCTCGCCATTGCGACCTAGAGAAACTCATAAACTAACGAAATCTTTTTAGTTTTTTGTCAACAGATGATTCAGTTATAAGTTACGATGAACACCGCAAAGTAACTTTTTTGTTCATTTGGAAAATTAGCCGCCATCTTCTTAATTTATATATATATATATATATATATATATATATATATATATATATATGTATATATATGTATATATATATATATATATATATATATATATATATATATAAGTGGATTCTCTTGGGCTTAGGTTCATAAAAAAAAATTTAGTTTGATACTAAGACATTTTTATATATTTTTTCCAGGAATTCAGGATTCAGGAAATCCACGCCTTTTTCAAGAATATATTTTGATTAAAAAAAACTGTTTTTTTTTTGTTTTTTTAGTCAATATATATATTCTTGAAAAAGGTATGGATTTCCTACCGAAACGTCGGAAAAAATATATAAAAATGTCTTAGTATTAAAATAAATTTTTTTTTATGAACCTAAGCCCAAGAGAATCCACTAAAAAATATATATTAAGGTTCAAGAACTAAACTTAAACTATATATATATATATATATATATATATATATATATATATATATATATATATATATATATATATATATATATATATAGATTAGATTCACCTTCGGGTTGTTCGGTGACCTTACCAAACGCAAACGATCATGGTATAATTAAATCTAGTCTCCAATGTAAAAACGGAACGCAGGTAAAATGTATGTCAATTCGCCAAAAACGTACAATTTTACGTAGATATGGAATTAAAAATATTATTTAACTAAAGAAAATTGCCAAAATGACTTGAAAAAAGTAGATTTCTAAAAATAAAAATAAAAAGTAATTTTAAAAATTACATAATAATAATAATATTAATATTTAATATTATTAAAAAGAAAAAAATTAACACAATAGAGGTTCAAATATTCCACCTCTCTCTTCAGAGCAAAAACCAAATCTGTTGTACAGAGATACTCTCATATCCTTGAGAAATTCCAGTATAATGCTTCCACAAAGATCATTTATTTTGTCCCTCAATTTCTCTAAATTTCGCTCTCTTTTAAAACTATGTCCATAAACACTTACTTTCAAATATCCCCAAAGAAAAAAACATTTGGGAATATGTCTGGTGATCTGGGAGGCCACTTGATCGTACCACGAGAAAAAATTAATTTATTTCCAAAAATGGTTTCTAAATTATTTTGAACTGCTCGTGTATTGTGAGCAGAACAGCCGTCTTGCTGAAAACAAATATCGCCAAAGTTGACAGGAAATAATTGAAGTGCTGGAATAATTTGATTTTGCAACAATTCTAAATATTTATTGCCCGTTAAATTTCCATCAATAAAAAATGGACCGATGATATAGTCCCCCAAAATACATGTCCAAACATTAGGTTTTTGTGGATATTTTGTGCGTACTGGAATACTAAAGTGTTTATTATGCCGAGACCAATATCGTACGACAGAAGGATTATGTTTCCGATCTAACGAAAATGTTGATTCATCGTGTTTACCAATGTTTTTTTAAAAATGTTCATTTTCGTCATGATTTCACAAAATTCCGTCCTCGGCTATTAACTCTTGAATAGTTGAAACTTTAAAACAACGGTAACTGTTTCGTTTCAAAATATTCCTGACAGTCCTATCATTTATGTCAACTTCTTCAGCAATAGTTTTGCTTGAATAAGGATACTAGTTTCAGCAACACTACAAACATCAATTTACCTGTTTTGCCGAACTTCGTTGATTATTTTCTCTCGTGGTTGATCCGTTCATTTTCGACAGTTTTGTACATAACCAAACGATTCAAATATTTTAATAATACGACTAATAGTTTATTGTGTCGGTATTGGTCTATCTTCATAGGCACAGGTAAATAAATGTATAATGTCACGGTACGAGTGGCCCCCAAAATACCATTTTAAAATTTGTACTTTTTCTTCGGTTGTACACATGGCTAGAAACACTGTTTTAATTTCAGCTTATGGCACTATAATGACACGTAAATGCTATTATTTATCACAATTTCCCATGTTATTATTATCATAAAATATAATTTAAAAGACCTTAATACCGTTATAGAATTTTGTCACTTGGATTAGTGAAATCGTCTACTGTGCATTTGCGTCAGCGAGTTTCCCTCGTTCTTGCATTCCATGTTACTATTCTTTTCATTAATTTCACTGTGATAAGCCGGAATATTCTTACCAATCTCTGGGGATAAAACACCTGTCCGGGACTGAGCGCCAATTGTGTAGGTTTTCCTTCTTATTGCGTCGTCTCCTTTCGAAGGTTGACGATCCAAATGGTAATTGCAGATTTGGAAGGTGCTGGACGAAAGATTTCTGCGGATGAGCGGTCAAACTATCTCCTCGGATCTTTCAGCCACGAGTTCTGGCGTCTTCCAACTGATCTTTTGCCCTGTACTTTACCTTTCAGTATGATTTGGAGTAATTCACATCTTTCACCTCTTAACATATGACACAAGTATTATATTTTCCTCTCTTTGATTATAATTAGTAATTCTTTTTCTTTACTCATGCGCAGTGCCTCACCGTTGGTAACTTTTTGTACCTATGGAATTCTCAGCATCCGTCTCATACATCTCAAAGGCATATATTCTTTTTTTTTGTTTCAGAGTCCATTGTCCAACTTCCACAGCCATACAGCAAAACAGAGAAAACGTAACATCTGAATATTCAGATTCTGAGCTCTACACTGAGGTCTGATAAGTCTGTAAAAAATGTTTTCATGTTCATGAGTGTTTCCTCGCTTGTTCGATTCTTAATAGGATTTCTTTTTTTGGGTTACACTGGCTGTTAATATTTGCTCCCAAATATTTTATGGAAGTTACCCGTTCTATTATTCGTCCCTTAGCATACAAATGTACGTTTGTTGGTATCTTTAAAAAGACTAAAATTTTAGTTTTGGAAATGTTTAGATGTACCTAAATAGAAAATTTTGCTATGACGAACTACCTCATTTATTAGTACGTTGCTTGCTATTAGGACGGTATCATCAGCGAACCTAATGTTGTCTATGCTGGTTCAGTTAATCTTGAGTTCACCTTGGACCTCGTCTAAGCTTCTCTGAATATAGATTCTGAATACAGATTAAAGAATAACGGTGATAAGACGCATTCTTGTCACACTCCTCGTCGGATTCGTATATCTTCGGATGTTGTGTGCCCTATTCCAATTGTTGCTGGTTGGTGCCAATATAGTACTGAGATAATTCGCAAGTCTTATTCATCAATTCCAGTTGTTCTGGGTCCTGTCAAATGCTTTGCTATAATCAATAAAACATGCGTATACATCTAAATTCATGTCTCTGCATGTTGTGTTAACACATTTGATGTAAAAAGCGCTTCTCCTGTTCCCAATCTGTTTCGAAATCCGAATCGAGTCACTCATCTCAAACCCACACTTCTTGTAAATTCGTCTATGGATGATTCTTAGAAAAGTTTTAAGGACATGAGACATCAAGCTTAATATTCGATAGTCATCGCATTGTGAGGCATTAAATTTTTTGGTAATGCTACGGATGTTAGTTTTGCTAATATGATGGCATTTTACCTGTGTCGTGTATCTTACTGAATAGTGTTGTTATCAGGTCTAGGCTTTTACTTTCGTTGTGTGCAATTAATTTAAGTATTTCGACATTGATATTGACTGGATCGATGGCTTTTCGGTTCTTCTAAGCTTTTACTGCACGAATAACTTCTTCTTTGGTTATTTCTGGATCTTTTTAATTTATTCAATCATCGGTGAATGGTAGAAACAAGGTCTATCATCGTCAAAACGTGTCTGAATGTATTCATTTCATCTCTCTATATGATTTTATGTACTTCTTCTTGTTATCGAGCAAAATGAAGTAAATTTGATTCCTAACAATTTTATCTTCTATGTCTGCAGGTGATTTAGGTTTTCCCTTCATAGTAAAATTATAGTGAAGAGCAGTTTTGATAGTGATACCGCTGACACTCGGTCGTTAGAGCTTCGTTTGTTATCTAAACTGGAATACGTTGTAAGAAGTTACCACTCGTAAAGGTGAGGTTGGAGTTTGAGTAGAACTATTTGTGACGCCCTACCCAATTTTATTGCCATATTAATTTTAATAGTCATTATTAATAACTAAAAGGTTATAATTAAAAACTTATTTTTTATTTATATTTCATTATATTGTAACTAATAAGTAATTTTTTCTTACCCAGCCAGTATGTTAAAATTATACATCCAAGAAGTGCTGGCAGCCTTAAACACATTGCACCAGATAAGGTGGTGCTTATTGTCTACTAAAAATTCCCAAGAATTAGGCCTGTGTAATGAATCATTTCCTGGTCGATCTAGTCCCAATAATTTGCACATGATTTTCATATGTCTTTTTCGATTTTCAAGGCGTTTAGAGATTAGCGACATATTTTTATTTGTAAGCGATCCGGCTTGTATTTTTCCAACTTCACTTACCTAAAATATGAAAACAATTTATAACAGATCTCTTATAATTAAGCTTATAAATAAGATTAAGTTTCTACAAAGAAAAGACCTACTATCAAAGATAATCATGTACTATATTAAAAGCTGTTTTGTAACTCTATACAATGTTTTGATTGGTTGCATCATTAATAAGAATAAACTTACAAATAAGTTTTTTTTTTAATTTTATTTTTAAATTGGTTTGATTCCAACCCCGTCTATCATACGCCGTTTTCATGCAACATTTATTTTGTTTAAGTCCGTGTGTTCATCGAGTTGGTGAAGCCTGAAGCTTCGTTTGTACTTTGGTGGTCTCCATTTTAGTCTGGCTATTCTTTAAATGATGTCAGTCACCTTCATTTTTTGTTCTTATATACTTGTTTTCAACTTTGTTTGGCAGACTTTCCTTTAAATTACATTTTTTGAACTGAAACTTAACGAACGTTCTTATTTACGCAAATGAGAAAAAGTAAAAGGACACGGATGTTTGTGACGGAACTTACAGCGAGTAATATTACCTTCTTTACTGACCAGTGCAACTAGTGGATGTTTGTGGATACACATTTAACTATATGCTTCTCGAACGTATGTGAAAAACATAAACTACTTCTTGTTGATAAGAAAGATCTTCAGATGCTTGCTCCCGTTTAAAGTTTGGCTATCGTCCTAGCTATTTAATTAACGAACATTGCTGGTTTGTTGTTACGATTGTTTGTGTTTCCTTTTTTAATATATTTTTATTAATACCCAGCTAGGGAAATTAAGTAGGAAATAAAATACCGCCCTCAAACCAAAATAGAAGAATCCTTGACTTATTAGGTTGAGGGTTGCGCTAGAATCCAATAACTTCTTCCTGTAAAAAAATATGTTACGGGACCTCAGGAACTATTAGCCTCTTTTTCAGTTGAGAAAAGACATATTGCGACAGAGCTACACCTGATAACTACGGGTTGTGTTCGAGTAGTTTGAACAGGACAACAACCTATTTGTGTGCAGGAAATATGGAAAGAAATCGCTCCCTAGTGATTGTAATATTGAAATACTCAAATACTCTGTAATATACTAAAATAGTTGGGAAATACCAGGCTGGTTTCATAGGTGGTAAATAGACTATTATATTTCTACATTGAGACAAAAATTTTAAAAAAAATACTGGAAGATAAATTACAAGGTAGTCTTCTATGTAAATTAAGGAGAGTCATTTAGGGCAATGAGAGACCTAAAAATATCAAATTAGTTGATAATTTTTAACAAAAATAACTTTTAAAGTTGCCCGCAGAGTACCGATCCAGGGCGAATTGCCTGAGCCTTTTAAAGCCAACAATGAGCAATTGGGGAGATACTCTCTCCTGCATATTGTTCAATTTAGCCCTGGAGAAAGTAGTATATAGGTTCAATATAGGATACGTAAGTGCAAATCCTTGGTTATGCTGATGATATGATATTAAGAGGAAAACGTACGCGAAGCGTATGTTGGACTAAATTTTAAAAAACAATAATAGACGCAGACGTAAAATGGATAAGATGGAGAAGACGATACAACTTCGAGCTATGCAGAATATAACCTGATATCTTGTTCATCATCATCATTTTGCCTTAACAACTCTGCGTGGGTACTATCCTCCTCAAGAATTTCTATCCAGTCGTCCCTTTACATCACCTTCCTTAGTCAAGCAGGTATTCCCATATTGTTCTGGGTCTTCATCTTCTTTTCTGACCAACATCTATCCAATGATTGAATTCAGGAGCATTTTTCTCGCTGGTTTAGTACATCCCATCCGCATTATATGCCCTATCCACCTTAGACGTCATATCTTAATACGATATTTGGTTCCTGGTGTATTCTATAAAGTTCGAAGTTATATTGTCTTCACTCCATTGTCATTCACCGCTCCATAGATTTGCCTTGGTGTTTTTCTTTCGAAATATATATATATATATATATATATATATATATATATATATATATATATATATATATATATATATATATATATATATCCTCTTACCACATTGGTGAAGAGACAGGGCGCGTTTCAAAGAGAGAACTGATATTGAATGACCTTTTAAGAAACTTACCTGGCGGTGCATATATTGTGTTTGATGCCTTACTGGTTGTAGATAACGATCAGTTGCTACCATCAGTACTAATAAAACCGGTATCACACATATTGCAGTAAAAAATATAACACATCTTCGCATCACCCTCCATCCACTCACTTGAGCTCTTCTTCTTCGTTTCAGTCTCATTTTTTCAGTCAGCTCCTATAGTCCATAGCAATCATCAGGTATTTATTAACAGGAAATTGCGCGTCAGTCATATTAGTATACTAAAAAGAGAGGAAAATGACAACATATAAATAAATAATTTCATATAAATTAATTAAATAAATAGTTATATATATATAGGTATATATATATATATATATATATATATATATATATATATATATATATATATATATATATCGCAAAAAGGAGTACACCGTCTATCCAATATAAATAAGGATCACTCAGATGAGTGGTTCAATCGGTCAACTAGGTGGAGAAATAAAAGACAAAGTTGATACTACTTCATCTATTTTGAAGACGTTTCGCTATCGAATTCTGATAGCATCATCAGTTCATCTAAAAATTTTTACATTAGAGTACCACACATTCATGAAGAAGATGTTAAATAGTTACCTTAAAAAAGATATGTAGTTGTCAATGGTATTAAAAAGGTAGTACAAAAACTCAAATAAATGGACATCGTATGGTGATATTGTATAAACAATTAAATAATTAACAACATTTAGAGACTTAGTAAAAATTAGCAAAGCAACAGAACACGTGGTCTAATAAGCATATAATATTTAATATAATATTAACTAGTGAAAAAGAACTAAGAAAATCATTGATTCACTTCCAACTAAGCAAAAATTTTTATTTTAACTTCATCTTAACTTTTGGTAGCATTATTTAAGTTAACTACATTAAGATATAAAAAATATATATAAAAAAGATATAAAGTTAAGTTACCACTGTTTGCTTGGCACCTGTTGCAGTTGAAATGGCGTTAAATTAAAAGGTACCGAGTCAATGACATGAAACAGACAGCCAGCCTTGAGGTCGAAAATTATTCGACAGAACAACAAGGTTAATAGTACCAACCCACTAATTTACGGGCGGTAAATTTGAAAAAGTTAACATGAGTTTAAATGATAACCCTCCCGTAAGAGACCAAACAATGAAAGAAATTAGCGATAACGCTAATCCTCTGCATCAACTAGTCTAGAACAAACAAGTAGGCCAAATTCATTCAACTCCATATTTAAAAGAGTGATAAACGTCAACAGTGTAGTTGGTTATACATCTACAGGTGATTGACGATAAGCACCTAATTTCCAAAAAGTCCAAGGTCCCACGCTTGGAACTTTAATTTGTAAAGTATTCAAAGGTTGAATTGTATTTATTTATATTAAAGTAAAAAACCAGAGGGTCAAATTAATCAATATATGAAAAACGACCAAGTATGCAATGTGAGTTGCATAAGTAAGTTTAAGTTAATTAGCATTTATGTAATAATATATTTTTAATAAGTATTAAATTATAGTAAGTTAAATTTATTTAATAAAGAAAATGTGTTAAATTGTACGACTTTAGAGACACATACATAACGAACTGATTGTAAAGCCTAATTCTGCAAAATTAAAGCATGATATATTTGACTCAAGTTACTTATGTCTGTTCTCTTATTTAAAGCATTAGGATGTTTAAGAATGGAACACATTTCTAAGAACTGTCTTTTACCAAGTTTGCTCTCAGTGCCAAGAATTTTAACTTCATTGAAATTCACCTTATGTTTTTTGTTAATTGCGTGTTGCGCTAACGCACATGTGTGCTTAGAAAGATTAATGTCACTTCGATGGGAAGTAAGACGTCCTTTTAGTGATCTTCCAGTTTGACCAATATAACAAGCGTCACACTCAGCACAGGGTAAATAGTATATAGTATTAACTTGTTCCAAAGTGGACAAGGGTGTTTTAGTTTTAGAAAACAAATTTCTAACAGTCTTAGCATTCTTAAATGCAATTCTAACTGGTATGTTATTATGTTTATATAGTTTCATAAGCTTCTCTGTAACTTGAGGAAAATAAGGCAGAGATGAATAATGGGTGGTAGGATTCTCAAGATCAGTATTAGGCAGAACAATGCTATTGACTGAATTATTAGAAATGGTTCTAAGTTGGTCACCATTGGGTATATCATCAAAAGAGGATCCATAACTTTGAGAGTATAGGTATTTATTTATGATGGAGGAAGGATATGAATTTTCAATTAGAATATGTCTCAATAACTTAAGGGATTCCCTTCGATTAATCGGATGTGTTAATTTATGTAATCTGCAACTAAGTGCTTTAATAAGGTTCAATTTATATTTCATAGGATGACAGGAATGGTAATTAAGGAACCTATTGGAGGCCATTGGTTTTCTATACCAACTTGTGGTCAGGGTGTTATCTCCCATTCTGATGACACGCATGTCTAAAAAGGGGATACTATTTGTGACAGTGTCCTCAAGTTCAACAGTGAACTGTAAGTGAGGATCAAATTCATTAAAGAAGGATAAGGTACCCTGAACCTTGTCAGGTGGTAGGGCTAATAATAAATCATCCACATACCGCTTAATAAAAGGGATTGGAAATTCTAAGCGACCTAAACGGTCAGAAACCAAATCATCTAGTACATAGTTAACTAGGATGGGTGAGATTGAGGAACCCATAGGTGTGCCAAATATTTGGAGGTAAAATTTGTCCTCAAAAACTAAGAAGTTAGTGTCAAAGACTAGTTGCAAAAGTTCTGCAAAAATATCCCAAGAAACAGGGCAATTAGGTTTAATAGAGTTTCAATGATTTTTCAAGGAGGTGATAACACTGGACAAAGGTAAGTTAGTGAAAAGAGAGACCACATCAAAGCTTACTAAAATGTAACCTTGTGGTAGTTTTAAAATTATTTATAAATTCACTAAAATGAAAAGAATCAACAATATTATAATCATTGCTGTAATTATATGATTTAGATAAGATATCCGTTAGAAATTTAGAAATATTAATATTAGGTGAGTTAATTGATGATACAATAGGTCTCATGCTCAGTGTAGGCTTATGTATTTTGGGTAAACAGTAGAATCGTGGAGCATATCCATCATAATTATGTAAATATTTAGCTAACGGTTGATCTATGATCTTGATATTTTTTAAGTGTGTTATAAATTTGTTAATTCTATTAGTGAATTTCGAACAAGGATTATTGGAAAGTGGTTGATAGTCCAATATAGTTCCAGTCCAGTCCAGTATAGTTGATAGTCCTCCCCGCCTTTAGGATTCACTCCCCGCCTCTCGACGCGTTAGTGTTCTGAGCTGTTGGACGTGAATCCCTGTCCTGGCATTTGGTTTTCACCTCTGGCTGCGTTAAGTAGTTGAGTTACTGTGACCAAATGCCCATCTTGGTAGTTAGTATTCGCCTCTGGTTGCATTGAGTAACTGAGTTACCGTTGCTAACTATCCATCTTCCTGTCTTTTGATTTCTTTTTCTTTGTTCTCCTGAAGAAGCTACATACAATTGTAGCGAAACGTCGAGATGAACCCATTTTTGGGTCACTCACAAATGACACAGTCCAAACCCGGAAGATGAATAAACTATAATTTTGACCATGGCCGTGGAAGCCTACGATTTCATTTGACTCTTGTAAATCGTTTGCCAAGAACTGCAAATAATTATCACCATTTAAATTGTTGGGTAGAAATACTGGGCCTATTAGATTGTTATCCACAATTCGTGCCCAAACATTAACTTTGAAAGTCCTTTGGCGATGAGTCGTTTTTTTGGCGTGAGGATTTTTGTCGGTCCAAATGTGCTCGTTATGATTGTTTGTTATTCCATTTCTACTGAAGGTAGCCTCGTCGGTAAACAAAATATTTCTAATAAAATTAATATTTTGAGTGTTTTCCATTAACAACTAATCGCAAAATCCAATCCTTTTAGGATAATCTTCAACCAATAACTCTTGAACCGTTGTTAAGTGATAGGGTTTAAGCAGCTGATCCTTCAAACGCCTCCAAACCCTTACGTGTGGAACATTTAGTTGAACAGCTATTACCCCTTTACTTGTTCCAGGGACTTCATCAATGATTTCTAAAATGTCTTTATCAGTTGCATTCATTATTGGTTAAGTTAAATACTTATCTGCCATTTCCTGAAATGTGTAGGCCTTTGTAATATCAAAATTTTTAATATTAATCTTATTCACACAATAAATGATAGCTTCAAATTATTGACTATTATTGATGGAACTGTTTGTAATTATTGTATCCGTAGAAACTAATAAAATTGTAATTTTATGGCCAACTAGGAAAAAACTAGTTTTTCGAAAAAGTGATAAGAGGCAAAAAGTATTAAAAATAATGTCTTAAACCAATGATGCCACAAAATTAATTTGATTTAAACGTACTCAAAAGTTTGGTGGGATTTAGGGCTGCACACATCCGTAAAATTTTTCTGTGCGCTTGTTTAAACTTTTTTATAAAAAATGCTTCCAGAACAAAAAAGTAACATGTCTATTTTTATTACAAAATGTCATGTAGTTTAAGAGATAATGCAAAAAAACAATTTTTATTTTGTAACTTCGAAGGGCTGTAACTTTTTTGTGTACACTTTTGTACTAAGGTAAGTTGTTCAATTTATTTTTGTCCCCGGAATGCGTGATTTAATTTATGACCTACCTTTTTGAAACACCCTGTATACAGTATTGGAAGATTCAAAACGGAACATACGAATTATTAATACAATTATTAAGATCCCCTGACCTGCAATTACCCAGTGTAAATTTCAATATAACGTCGCGATGTCTTATAATTAATTCATTTGTTCGACTGGATTGCTACTCCTTGGCGATTTCTAGTAGCGTATTCGACAGGTGTACGTCGACACTGTTGTCTATCGTCCACTGATTTTCTGTGTTTTTGTGCAGATAATAACAATGTTTTATTAATAACAATTTTTTTGTGTTCATTAGATATTATTTGAATTGGTTAGTGTATAGTTTAATATATTTATTATTCCAAATATTGTTGATAATTTAAAATTTAAAAGGATTTATATGATACATCAAAATCTACAGATTTTTGCCGAAGGTATCTATCGATTTGGCAACAGTCCCAAGGAACATCACTGGCCGAGCAAAACAAATACATGTCCTTTACTTTGCTTCTCATTATAACGCCATAAGCTGAAATAAAAGTAGTGTTTCTAACCATAAACCATGTATACAAACAAAGAAAAAGTACAA